TTAAGCAATGCATATCTTCTGAAATATTTCAGACTGTAGTAATAACTATATCAAGCCATTTTTGGTATTTGTCGGATGTTAATTTCTGCAGAAGAGAAAATGATGTGTTATAAACCTCTCGTTCTGATTAATTCCATTAAGTTGATGTCATTGACATGAATTTATGAGCATGGCAACATAGGAACATTTTGTTTTTGTAGTGTCCGGTGTACTGTAGCTACTAAAGAACAGGAAAAAAGATGCATTTATTATGGCTTGTAAATCACAATCTGCTATCTCTATGGGGGATCGTGACCCATGAGGAGTAGTTGCAAGCACACTCTCTATGTTGTAATGGAATCTCTAGTGTGTCAGGGAAAAAGAAACACAAGATTTTTAGCCATTTGAAGCAATGAAATAGTCAGCATTTTCTCCTACAACTTTTTCTGCTTTAAAGAAGCTGAATCTTCTGCCTTCACAACACAACCTACCTTCAGATATTAGGTTACATATAATCAAATTTTCTAAATATATAAGTTAAGTACAGCCATACAAAGAACCTCTCATAACATAATTCATAATTTTGAGTAATTAGACTGGATAATTCTGGGTGCTTTGTAATCTGATAATGAATAGAATGATAAATAATAGACTTTGAAAATATCATCTTAAAATATAAATTTTAAACCTTATTCAGTTTTATAAAATTAGATTATAATACCTTTATACAATATAAATTTGTCTTATTAATGTATATCTTTAAATAAATTAATTTCCAACAAAAAAAATCGTGAGATCTCCAAATAAATTAATCTCCAATGGTAAAAAAAAAGTGATGTACATCTGTATTTTTACCAAAATTAGTTCTTATGGCTTTAACATATTTTGTTAACATATTATTATTTTTATATACATAACTGACATTTTCTTACAACATGTTTCCCACTTTATCCATTATTACATAGCACTTTTCAGTTTTTTTTTTCATTTAATCGTTTGTTTATTTTTAATTATCAATTGAGATTCTTCTGTCGGGAATGCTAATAAACAAAAATAATTTTCCAAAAGACACTCTCTAAAAATAATTTTACCACTTAAAAAGTCTTAGTTGAAGTGGGTACTAAAATTAGTGTTTTGGTGACTTGAAATTCACAAAATAGAAGTACATTAATGTAGATGGGAAGCTTGCTTAAACTCCACTTCTAATGAAAAAGAAAAATGATACTTGAACAATTATTTTTGACAACATTTAGACACGCGCACATGTGTCAAAATCTGAGTGGTCCAGTTGGAAAAATTAAATGAAAATGGACCACTCAGATTTTGACACGTGTGCGCGTGTCTAAATGTTGTCAAAAATGGTTGTTCAAGTGTCATTTTCCAATGAAAAATAGAGAAAGGAAGAAAGAGATAAATTTATTTAAATTTAATTATGATTAAAAAAATATGGCGGCAAGAGATTTTTTAAGAAGGGTTGAATTTTGTTCTAATGATTGGAAGTGCGTGATTTGTTATATTATTGGTTCTATGGACAGAGAGTTGTCATTATCAAATGCTAAATATATATCTCTCTATATCTATCTGAATCTCACCGTATCAAATCCAGTTACCTTCTCCTATTGTGACTACACAATGCCAATGGAAAAAGTGTATTTGCCAAACACATTTTTCTTTATTTATTAAGACACCAAGGACGTACCATGTTTTTCCCTTATGAATTCCTATTAGATATGATTTTTAATGTTAAAGTTCCAAATATACAATCTTTTCATTAAAAAACATTTTTCAGCTCAATTCTAATTTGGACAGTAATACGTTAATATAAATTTTTTTACAATATTTTAATACAAATACAGTATATACATATTTTTTTATTAGAATTAAAAAACTCAGCTCTTTACATTTTTTTACAAGGATTTAATAGAAATTTATAGAAATCAAAACATATTCTAAATATGAAAACAATTAGGTTGTATTTACGAAGGTGCATTGATGCTTTTAAATTTCTTTATTTATTGCTAGAGTCTTGAAAATAAAAAAATTAAAACAAAATATAGAAGAGAATTTTAAAATGATTGAATTCTATTTGAATTTACATTTAGTATCAATGACCACAAATATTTGAGTCTACCAAAGAGGAAATTCATCGGGAAGACACAAACACTAATGAGACCTTAATCAAATCATATAAATGATTGACACCATTCTTTACTAAAAACCTTAAGGCAATATGTTAATGGTTCTTTCATTATTATGTAATGCTCTACTCTTTCATTCTATAAATGTGAGACTTAGACTTACATTTGGATTCCCAGTTTATAATATATAAGTGGGTGCAAATCTAACTTTACAAACCCGTTTTGTGAAATTGAGTTAAGTTTAAAGTTCATTTCTTGATACAAATTTCTTGAAACCTTTTTAAGAAATTTATAAAACTATATAAAAACTTTTTAGACAAAAATCAAACTTATTAGGTGTAAAAAAAATCAAATTTAAAAGAAAGATATAAGAAATAATGATATTACTTGATGTGATAAATATTCAAGGAAAAAGTGATATTTTCACTAAAATCTTTTCGAAAGATTCAAAAAGAAAAATACTTTATTTATTTATTTATTTATTTATTATCAAATGGATCAATGTCTATAATTTTTGTGACTAGTTAACATTGAAATTTTCAAAACAACTTTTTATGTAAATTGATATGGAATTAGAACTATAATCGATTATATTGTTCATAATTAATGTAAAAACACGATATGAACAACCTAATAAATTAATTATTTCAGTAAATAATTGATAATTAATAAAATTTATATTAAAACTAAACTTTAAGTAGTTAACTATTATATCAAATAATTAATTATTTTACTTATGATAGTCAAGTATAGCATATAACCTAGTCAATTATGTGTGCAAGTATTACAATGTGCGAACACAAGATAGTTTATTCTATTTCATTATATTTGATTAATATGTTCTACACTTCTTTTTAAAACAATTTTGAAAAAAAAAAAGTTAACAAAAAATAATGAAAGAAATATACACACATAAACTAAAGAAAACATAAATTATCTTATTCAAAAGAGATTTTAAGTTTTTCATAACCTTTTCACATAAAAAGATGATAAAAATTAGAAAAAAATAATGAAATAACAATCAAATTTAGAGACTAAAATAATTAGTCATTATATTAATTAAGTTAAACATTATTTTGTAAATTAAAAGTTATTAGTATCTAAATTAATATCTATTAAAAATAAAAAATTATAATTTGTATATGAATTAAATTTTAAATTGATTTTTAATATTAGTTACTAAAGTTATAAATACTTACCGTTATTGATTATAAATTAATATCTAATTTTAAATTAGACATCAATTTAAACAAAATAATTTAATAATTGAAAGTTTGGTACCTAAAATGAGATATTAATTTAAAATTTAATTCATAAATGAATAAAAAAAATTATTTAAACTATTTTAAATACTAATAATTTTTAGTTTATAAAATAATATTTGATTTAGTTAATTATTTAATGATTTCAGTTTTAGTTTTCCAATGGATTTAAGTTTGTCATTTAACAATAATATTTCCATTAAAACATGTTTTGCAATATTTGAAAAAGAAAATACATGTTGATAATATTTTTTAGAAATCCATGCAGAATGATTCTGGTCACCCACAATAATGAATAAATGTAAATTGTTCAGATTACCTTTTATATCACTGTTTCAAGAAGAATACTTTAGTCAGTCATGCAAATGAGTTGTATCACTGTCATGGCACTCTAAAGCAAGCATTGGTTGCGTAGAACTTCCATGTCAAAACCAAAACCAAAACCAAAAAAGAAAAAAGAAAATGTTCACTGATTCAGTGACTCAACTGGTTAAAGAAAAGTATGGGAAAAAAATAGTGATCAATAAACAAGCTCTCATGTACATTGCTTGCATGCTTCTTTCTTTTTCTTTTTCTGTGCACAAAAAGAAAAGGAGGCTCTAGAAAACTGCTACACTAATTATTTATTTTTTATCATTCTGTAGTAGGCAGTAGATTGCATCAGTGATTTTACAGTAAAAGATTAGAAATCACTTACTGGAAACAGTAAGCAACTTCACCACTAACGCACATTCTCCAATAAAACTTTGCTACCCAAGTTAGCTTCTGTTCAAAATGTTTTATTTATTATTCTAGATTTTTACTTATATATATATCATCTTAACTAAAAATAAAATGAAATTCCACTAAGTATATACAAATCTCTTGTTATAGTTTCACTTACTATTAGTGACATTATTTCTTTTCAAAACTATTCATTAAGAGAAGTTATTTTTAATGATTACTTGAACATCACTAATTGAGATGGTCTCACCATCGATAATTACTTATGTTATTTTGTTGTGGTGGAATGAAATGGACCATAATTAACCCATTAAGTTCATTATTCTTCTATTTTTATCTGCTTAAATCACAAAAATACATAACATCTTTCAGTATTCATTCCAGTTGCATTTTGAAGTTCATCCACTATGTAAAAGCTTTTATATTGGACATATCTTTATTCTTATAAATTAAAACTCACAATTCAAAATATTTTCACTCTTTCAATTAAGAATTTCTATATTCGAAACCGGATTCATATATCTCTTCTTTTAAAATAATAAATAATTATAAATAATTAACTATTGTTGTAAATTATTGTAAATACAATATATAATTTATATATTTAAGTATATGTTTATCATTCATTTTCATTATATGATTCATACATTAAATCTTATTTATTATAACTTTTAATTATATAAAAGGGAATTAATTCTATACACATAACGAACTAGTTAACATTATAATGTAAAATATTTTAAACCTTTAAATTTCAGAACAACTAATTTAAAAACGTACTATTTCATGATGTCTTCAAGAAGAGGAAATGTAACGCTTAGAAAAAAAAGATAGCCGTTGGAGACAACCTCGCCTTCAAATATTCAAAAACTATAAATCTTATTATCACTACTCAGTCACTCACTCCCAAGTTTCAGGCTCTAAAAAAAAGATCTTCTTCAATGGCTGACGCTACCATGGCACAGACGAGTAAGAATAACAAGAACCCAGAACAAGAAAAGCATGCAAAGTTCCCAGTTTTAACGGTGCTCAAGAACAACGCCGTTCTCAAGAATATCTTCCTCGTACACGACGGAACCAACGAAGATCAGACGGTCCTGATTGGGCGACAACCTGACTGCAACATCGTCCTCATGCACCCCAGCGTGAGCCGCTTCCACCTCAGGATTCGCTCCAACCCTTCTTCCCACACTATTTCTCTCGTTGATTTGGCTTCTGGTACGATGCTAATTAAACGAATCGTTTTCTGTTTTTTTTTCTTTGTTCTTGCTTTGAATCTTGATGGATTTCGATTCTGTGCGGGCAGTGCATGGTACGTGGGCTCGTGGGATGAAGCTGGAGCCGGGGGTGACTGTGGAATTGAAGGAAGGTGACACCTTCACTGTAGGGGTTTCTACTAGGATTTATCGTCTCAGCTGGGTCACTCTTACCCAATTGAATGTCTTTGTGCCCCATCAACAACAAAAAGAAGGTCAACAAGAAGAGATAATCAAGGTACTTTTTTTCTTTTTACGTTTTGATAAAATTATTCACTTAGCCTAGAATTATCGCCTTTTTTAATTTTCACTTTTATGTATGTATATGAAGTTTAATTCCTAGGAGTTATTTTGCGGTTTATCAGAAATTTCTTTGAAATAGTTTATTTTATGCAGTTTGAAAGTTTTCTATTATATTATATTAGGCATTAAAAACCAAAAATTAGCTTTTATACGTGTAAAAGGGAACACAAATTATATTTTTCTCCAATAGGAACTAAAAATAGAGGTAATTACGGACTATGTTAAATGTTTATATTTTGTAGAATGCAATGCAAGTCAGGTGTCCGTTGGTTTTTTTTTTTCGTTTTTGTTTGTCTGGAATTTTGGGAATTACTAAGGATTTTGAATTGAGACAGCTTTCCGGAACGCAGAAGTTTGTTTTTTTTTTTATTCTGGGTATTTGTTTTTCTAAATGTTATGTATTTTGTTTATGTGTTTTCTTTGATTTTTCTCTACTTTGGTTGGGCATGCAGGATGAGAATTTGGAATATAGTGTGCAACGAGAGATTCTGGAGGCTGAAGACGTGGTTTCTCTTTGTTGTGATGAAGAGAGCAAGAGCCATTCTGAAGATAAGGGATTGGGAATTATCAATGGAACTGAAACATCATGTTTTCCTGCACACTATGGTGGTGAAATTATACACTGTGACCATCAAATTAGTGTTTTATCACCCCCGCATGTACAATCACCTCCTTATGCAAAATCAGTTGATGAACTTGATTACACTGAGAAAATTGAAGCTTGTCCGAAAGTGGAGATGCCTGGAGAGCCTAACTTGCTTTGCACATTGAGAGAGTATTTGACACAGAACTTATGTCTGCCTGTTGTGGAAGCGGTCCAGGGGACCAAAGTGGAGCTTCAAGCCCCACATGGTAGTTTCGCAAAACAACCACCTTCTTTGGAAATGCTTTGGTCCAGCTTGTCCACAAATATTGATCCTGCGACTTTTGATGAAAGGGATGTTGCTGCAGTGGCTGTAACACCTTCAGAATCTGACAAGGTTGAAGATATTTTAACTACCGTACCAAGAACTTTCAATTCTGAGAACACGTGCTTGATAGTTGACAAAGATCTTCCTGATTTTGAATTTCATCAAATGGAAGTTGTTGAAGAATTTTCTGTGGATTTAGTACCTGAAGGAGAAAAACAAGGTGAAATTCACTGGTCCAGCTTGCCTACAAATATTGGTCCCTCATCTTTTGATGTAAAAGATACTGCTGCAGTGGCTGCAATACCTACAGAATATGAGTTTGGAATCACACATGGAGATAATGACAAGGTTGGAAATATGTGTTTGATGGTTGACGAAGATATTCCTGATTCTGTATTTCATCAAGTGGAAGTTATTGAAGAAGTTTCTGTTGATTCAAAACGTGATGGAGAAAAACAAGATGAATGCAAGGAAGAGTACACGTCAAAGTTGCAAGATCAAAATGGAAAATCTTTCCGTGAGGGAGGGTACTCTCGAGATGATCCTGCATCTTTTAATGAAAAGAGCTTAGCTGTAGTAACTCTAATACCCACAGAATTTGAATTTGTCTGCACACTAGGAGATAATGAAATGATTGAAGATATTCCTGTTTCCAAATTTCAACCAATCAATATTGTTGAAGATGCTGTTATGGATTCAATATCTGATGGAGGAATAGAAAATAAATGTGGCAAGGAGTTGGAGTCAAAGCTGCAGGCTTCCCCGAATGCTAAATCCTGTCAGGAATCTGGTAACTCAGTGGATGAAATAGCTGAAGATAGTGGAAAAAATTGTACAAAGAGCATCTCCTCCACGTCATTCCATGTAGAATCTCCAAATTCTTCATTGCTTTAGGAAGTTGTTTCGAACATTACAGCTGAGAACCAGACACCTCAATCTCTCACCGCTGTGACAGGAAGCTCTGGAGGGGAATTCCTTGAAAAACATGTAGAATCAACAGAGAAAAGTTCAACCTTTGGCAGTATTTGGTCAAGAGGATGTAAGGCTGCTAGTGCTCCCCATGTTCGGGCCAGAAATAGTAGATTTATGAACACATCTAAGGTTGGCACTGAAGTTAAAAAGAGTAATGTGAAAGATGCCGTAAATAAATCAATGCCAAAGGATCTTTTCTCTCTCTTTGATGTTGAAGGAAAAAGTTTCAGTTCAAATAAGGAAAACCTAAGCTCAAACTCCTATCACTTGCAGCTCATGAGAAAGAAAGCTAAGCTAGAAGAAATTAAATTTCCCATGTCACAAAGATCACCCAATTTGAGCTGTTTTAGTCCCAGCATTCATTCATCCAAAGGCATAACCTCTGTTTCAAATAAAGTGAACTTGACTACAAAAGTAGCTCAAGAATGGAAGTCACAAAGAAAGCCTCTTAAATGTCTTGTCAACTTGGTCCATGAGAAAGATACGATGGAATTAAAAGAGAAAATAGTGGAAAGAGTTCCCTTCAGATCACTAACGAACACTGGAAGCAATCATAACTCGGTGACTGTTTCTGCTACAGAAAGTATGAATGATGCCGGTATTTGTGGGCAGATCATCTCAAACAAGTGCACTAAACCTTCTGTAAGTGAACTTATATTCGTTTACCATTCTTATTTAGCATATACGCTCACATTTGTTTTGTTTGCAACTGCAGCAGCATACTAGTAGAGAACAAAAGAGGAGCTGGGACATGGTTGTAGACACTGCTTCTCTTGTGAACAATGAGTCAAGAAAAGCTTTGCAGCTTCTACAAGGTCTCAAAGGGACTCGTTTAATCATTCCAAAATCGGGTAATGAGTTTTAGATCATTATATGCTTGTTATATGTACTTTGTTTGGAATGCAAGTGATGTTGCTTTTCACACAAGTTAAAAACTGGCTCTCACACTAACAATCTGTGATGTCAGTCATAAGGGAACTAGACTCTATGAAGCAACAATTTAGACTTTTCAGAACAACTTCCGAGGCTTCTTTGGCATTAGAATGGATTAAAGAATGCATGGAGAAAACAAGCTGGTGGATTCATATCCAAAGCTCGATGGAAGAGTGCAGGCTGACAGTTCCAACCCTTTCAAAGAAATGTGCTTCACCTGCTGTCGAAGATCACATCCTCGAATGTGCTCTTCAGTATAGAAAAATGGAGAATGTTGGACAACTTGTCCTACTTAGTCATGATGTTACATTGAAAACAAAATCCATGGCAAAGGTAATTAATCTCTTATACTGAAAATAAAATGTGCTCTCTTGACACATCTCATTGATGTTCTTTTTCTACCATTTCAGGGGTTGCTGTGCGAGACAGTGCAACAATTTCGCCAGAGTTTAGTAAACCCCTTCTCTGAGAGGTTCATGTGGCCCAAGAGCTCTCCTCGAGGACTGACTTGGTGTTGCCAAGATGATTTAGTTTTAAGGGAGAAATATTGTGGATTGCCATCAAAGGCTGGTTTGAAGCTCATCGCTGAGCAGTTTTTACACTTTCATTGATTAAACTTTTTACTATTATATTCTCATTTCCACGTTTCAAACCTACTCTAGCAATCTGGACAACCATTGACCTAATCTCAACGTAATTATGTTAGTTTTATTTTAAGTCCTGGGAGGGAAAACTGTCCTTTTCTTTTGGACACTTTTTTATTCTTTTCTATCTAATTACACGTTTTCTTTCTAGGGTTAACTTAAAGCACCAACACCATGCATATGTTGGTTCATAAAAATTTCGGGCCACAATTGCAAAGCCACAGAAAAAGGCGTTGTTACGTCACACAGTCGGATTGACTGAGCTTGAGCTACGGTACGGAAGGTGGTTTTAGAAATGACTAATGATATAGACGCACGAAAATCGCGACCAGATTCCGTATTCATGAACAGGAAAAATGATAGATGTACGTTCTATTTATTTATTGGATGTAAAAGTGAAAAAAGAAGAAAAAAAAAAGCGAAGATGAATAAGATAGTGTTAAAAAAATGTTTAATCAGTAATTTAGACTTATATTTAAAGTTTTGTTTAATTGTTTTTATATATATTTTTATTTAATTAAATTTTATTTTTTAAAATTTAATATCTTTTGTTAAATTTAATTTGCTCTATGTCAAAATTTGATTATTAGAAATCTTTGAAACTTGTTTTTTCTTTTTTTTTTTCTATCTCCACCTTCTTGAACCTTTGACCATCATTTTTCTCCTCTTCTACTCTCACTATCTTCTCCACCATTGAACATCCTTTTTTCCTTTCTTCCTTTATTTGGATTTCTAAGATTCATGAATTGTTCATACTTAAATTAGAGTTGGATTGGCCGTGCATTAGTTACTACTTAATTAAAATTTGAACTTGGGAGATGCGCTTGAAGTTTGAGGAGATTTTTGGTGTTTAGAAAGATAGAAGAAATGGGATGGTTCGTTATAGATGATGGAAGGGAAAGAAAATGGAGAAAAATAAAGAGAAAGAAAATAGAAAAATAGTAAGAATTCCAAAATTAAAAAATAAATTAAATTTTAACTGATATTTCAAACAAATATTAAATTTTTTTAATAAAAACTCAATTAAATAAAAAATAAATATAAAAAACTATCGAACCCTTTTAAGACTAAATTAATAATATGCTTCAACACTTTTACCTAAAGAAATAGAGAAATATTTTTTTATTTTATTTTTCAGTTGTGCTAATGTAAATATTTATAAATGTCACTTTTCTTAATTTTAAAGATTTATATTGGACAACAAACATTTCATGTACAGTAAAAAATGAGATGATTTTATGATTATAAATGAAGTTATAAATAAGAAACATTTAATGTAAAGAAATGGGGAGTACATGACTTTTTCTGGTTTTATAAATTTGACAAAAACAAAAGGATTATTTGTTAACAGGGGAAAAAGAAAACAGAGACATTATGGAGAGAGTAACATCATCATATACTGTCACAACAGATTGTCGGAACTTGATTCACCACCACCAAATTTAGTACCATAATTAAAGGATCCTGACATGAGAAAAGAGAAAGAACCTTCTGAATCTTCAAATGGAGTTTGAGGGAATTCACTAAACGACCCAAAGTTACAGCCTTCGAAGTTCAGCGACGAGAAATAATTCACAGGATCATCAATATTACCTTTCATATCCATCATGTTTTGAACTACATTTTCACTTGAAGGCTTTGATCCAAAACAGAAGTTCACACTTCCTACCTTATTGCTGCTGCATTCTCGGTTCTGGGGATCAGGTGGCTCGGCCACTGCTTTGGTGTCATCCAAAGGAATAGCCGGTGTATGGCCTTGGAAAAGAGCAATGTGTCCAAAAAGCTTGTCTTTCCTTGAAAATGTTGTGCCACAAGAACAGAGCCATTTATCCTTGCCACAGTGTTTTTCATGAGTTTTAAGGTCTGCCATGACTGAAAACTTCTTGGTGTTGCATCTGCTGCAAATATAGCTCTTGTCACAGTGCGTTCTCTTGTAGTGGTTTTTGACACACAAAATAGTCTTTAGTGGTTGGAATTTCTTGTGATCCTTGTTACGCTTGCAGCCGGCATAGGGGCAGGAATACCTCTTGATAAGCTTCGGTTCGGACCCGGTTTCTTTATGCGGTTTTGCAAGAGCTGCAGGGGTTTTGTACTCATCACCATGGCCACGCATGTGCATTCGGAGATTTGCATCCCTCTTGAATCCTTTCCCACATATTGTACAGAAATGTGTGTGAGGGGCAAGAATTTCTTCTTTTTCCAACTGTAAAATCTCATAGGAACCGGGTGGAAGACTCTCTCCCTCATCCACATCTTCTTCATCTTTTGGCTCGTGTTCTTCCATGTTATAGTTTTGCTCCATTTCACAAGTATTTGGTAGATCATTCGGAGTGGACTTATCGAACAGTTTATTTCCACTATTATTTTGTGGGTTAATGCCAGTACTTGGTTCTGATCCAAAAGGGAGGTTAATCCCATGAAGCTGGTCAATCTGGCCAACCAAGGGATTTGTAGTGAGGGTGTGCCTAACAGAGGGAAGAAGACTTCCAGCAGTAGAGATCAATTGAACAATAATTGATGTAAGATCAGCTGTGACGAGCTGCTGTTCCTGAGTCACTAGTTCGTGAGATTGTCCAAAGGGTTGGCACTTTTTATTGACAATTAAATGCACTAGATCCCGGAGCTGATGAATCTTTTCTTCAAGGAACGAAAGATTGTTCAACATTGCACCTGGATTCCAATCTTGGAGCTTGCTGGTATTTGATGAGTCACTTAGTGGACAATTTTCTTGGTCAGGGATCTCAACATCTGTGTTAGATTGACCTGGAAGTACAGATTGGATTGGAAGAGAGGGAGGGTTGAATTCATTGAAAGGTAATTCAATTCCGAAACCATAGAAAAAGGGAGGTTCTGAGGACGTTTTGAAGTAATTAGCACATAAGCCTCCTTTTGGATTCATTTTAAACTCTATTTACGGAATCAAAAACCCTGTCAATCAAAGGTATCTATTTAAAGAACAGCCGATGTACATAAGATGTTTTATAAACAATTAAATTAACAATAGAAAGGAAATATTGCATTAGATTGTTTACTTAAAGATTAAATAAATGCGCTCGCGCTCACACATACATGAACCCTCCTTAATAGAAGAAATATACCATATACCATTCAACATTAGTGTTTGTGCAAATACAAATATCACCTTCCATTCACAATGGCATCAGATTCATGAAATCAGAACCACTCTAGTAAATCAGTCAACTTTCTGCTAATATTGCCAATTAGCTACTAAAATCTAAGCTTTCAATTTAGTCAATAACTACACAGTTGTCTCAAACTCTCAAAACCAAGCTAGCTATTCGTCTCTTCAGATATCTTCAGATCCAAAAATCCGGATTCAAATTTTCTCATTTCCACAAATGTTTAAATCATCGTACAATCAGAAAAGATAGGGGAAAAAAAAAGGCAAAACCCTCAACCCATCACCCTTCAGTTATTCCACATAAAACTGGAAATTCCCAAACCCCATTTGCAGATCATAAATCTCTTAAAGGATAACTAGATAGTTACGTACTAAAAAGCATATCAACCCATTCATTCTCACTCGTTCTTTCCAACCATAAACAACCCCCGTTTCAAACACATCAAATCAGTTGCTACAAAACACCAATTCAGATTTTGACACCATAAAAGGAGAGGGCTAAAAAGAAACTATTCAGAACGACAAAAAGGAAAAAAAAAAAAAAACACATGATAGATTCAAGGTACCAATATATAAAAAAAACTCCCCCAAAAAACTGGTGCAGAAAAAGACGCATGCTTTCTGACCAAACCCTAAACACAGAATTAGAAGCAGAAATACAAAGAGTAAAGAACTTACCGACTCAAAGCTATATAACAATCTGAATGCTCCCTTGAAATGAAAAGAAAAAGAGGGAAAATTGCGATGGGGAAGAGAACATAGGAGATGAAGTGACTGCTTATATAATCAATAATAATAAAAATAATAATATCTCAGTTACCAAGAAGCTTAAAACTTAAACTATGTTTCTTCCTTCCTTCCTGTTGAACAAAGCAGAAGCATATTTGGTCAACTCCAACTCACTGTTACTACCCACCATAAGATGAGTCAATGCTATGTGGGGCCCACAATAGAGGTCGTGGGGCATTTCTTATCACTTACTCTCTGCAACCATCAATCAGGGCCGTTGCTTGGTGGGTTTTAATCAAAGATGAGAAGAAGCCAAAAAGGTTGAGCCTTTGATTTGAGATGAAGGGTCCCACATACACAGACGCACCAGACAACTAACTGCTAGGATGAAATGTGCTTTGTTGGACTGTACATGCATGCATGCATATGAAAATGATTTGACTTGTCTTGAAAAAATGAAAGCGTGTGAAAAGTGTAATAATGGTTGTGTTGTGGTGAAGTAGCTGGTGGAGGCATGTTCCTGTAGCGGCAACTGAAAGCTGTGAGAGCTTCCCAGGAAGCTACGCTCCCTACAAACTTGGCTTTGTTACTCCTTTTCATGTACTTTTTAAGATCTATCTACGTAACCCATATATATAATAATATCACAATATTTTTGTAAACATTTTTTTCTCATGGTTGAAAAAAGTTACTGGATAATGTATTTTAAGTAGTCCTACCAAGTTAGAAAATATATCTGATGGTGCAAGAAAATATTGATTTCTTTAGCTTTCCTATTGAAGATCTGAATTGTTTTATGTTTAAGATTTTCATCGTCTTTAAAAAAGATTTCATCTTATTTTGAACAAGATTATCTCTAAATATGTAAGAATTATTTTTCCATATTTGTATTTCCACTAATGAGAGTGTTCCTCTTCAAAAGAAAAAAAATTGGTACACTGTATCTGGAGATTGTTCTTTGAATCTGTTATTTCACTTAATGAAAAGTTGCCACTCTTTCGAGAGAGATATAGTGTCTTCTTCAAGTATGTTAAAGTTTGTTCATCTTCTTTATATTTATATAAATTTTAAAGGCAAGCAAGAATACCTAGCCTCTTCTAATAATTATTAACATTTTTTTCAATTCAAGGTTGTTTTTTTAGTTTGATTAAAAGGATGCAAGAAAAAGCTTTGGGTACTAACAATACATGGTGGAAATATAGGTGTGTCTAAACAGAGATGAAAAAGTTGAACACGTAAGAATTTTTTTTTTATAAAATTAGTTTTAAATTAAAAGAAGTATTAGTATTTTATGTGTGAATTTGATATATTTTTCATTGGTGTTATGTGTCTAGTTGAGAATTTAAATGTAAATTTTAATTTTTACATTGAAAAATTTATTGTTTTGTTTTAGATTAAAGATAGTAATAACCTTTATATATTAAGGTCTTGTTTTATCTCATTATTTTTGTCTATCTCCATAAATCCTCCCCATCAATATCTTAATTGTGACAAACATATATTTTCTTTTACAAAAGATATGTAACTTTATCTTAATTTTTTATTTGCTGTTATGATTTTATGATGTTATGTAATATTTTATGCATTAGAAGTTGCTAAAATTTTAAAGTAAGGGAGAAATTACTAGTGGGTTTTGTAGGAAGTTTATATAGATTTCTTTTATTATTTTAAATATATACATCAATACTTCTTCACTTTGTGTTGTGACTATGCTTTTATTAAGCTCCATAATATACTTTAAAAATATTGATTCATGTTTATGAAATATCTTTGTAAAGATATCGTTGTGGTTTTCTAATTTAAGGTTGAGTTGTTTTATGGGGGAGGAATGCCAATAATGTTGAGTTATCTAATTATATTTTTTTATTTCCGATAAGTTTACAATATAGATTATACAGATTTATCAATTCTAGGTAGTAATTTTTTGTTAACAGAATAATTCTATTCAAATCGGTTTACATTTTAAAGTTGTTAAAATAATATAAAAGAAGAACAATGAAATGTACTTTTGAAACTTAAAAAACAAAAGTTCTATACATATGAAACTCCTGTTCATCTTCTTACTAAGCTTTTATAAATTGTCGTGGAATCTCACTTTTTAAAAATATTTTTCAACAGAAAACAAATACGTTTTTCTACAAGATCTAAATGTAAATAAAAATTCTCAAGAACAAGAAAGAGGAACTATAACTGTATCTTTTATATAAAGTTCCACTGACATCAAACAACAAATATAGGAAATACTATTTTTGCTTTTAGAGAGTAATATAGATACTATTAAATTTTCGCAATATTCTTCAATAATAAATCATCACACATACTAAAATTATTAACTATAATAATCTCAAGAAGTCATCATATAATTTTCTTATATTTTTTTTACGAGAAATTAAACTGTGTTATTTTAGCTAGTAAAGTCATATTCTAGACTTCCAATGGTAGAAGGACAAAGTGGAGGCCCAATAGACAGCACGCCTACAATAATTCAAAATATATGATATAAGCAATGACAAAATGACATGATGAAAGGAACCACTATAACAAGGCTCGAAAATGACCATTTTGTAAAATAAATAACTAAAAATAAAAGGAGGATTTTTCATACGTGAAAACACCATCAGCACCATTAGATAATTGAGCACTTTAAACTACATTTGCTAGTTTGTAGTAACTACAGCAATAGAACCAAAATTCCTTGCAACAGAACCAAGTTATTGAAAACTATGTATTCAACCATGCCATGTTCATGGGGTAGTTGATATAATATAACTTATTTCTTCTCAGTTGATTTTGTGACGGTAACTCCTTTGGCTGCTTCAACAAGTCCCTTCAAAGAATCTCTCCTAGGCCTTGCAACCTTGTTGTTAGGATCAAATAGTAGGACTTCTTCAAATGCCTTCAAAGCAGACTTGTAATCTTTTTTACTGTCATAGGCATCTCCAAGATTGTTCCAAGCAGTGACATAGCCTGGTTGAAGCTTCACAGCTGTCTCAAACTGAGCAATTCCCTTGTCAACTTTTCCATCGCGGACATAGCTTACACCAAGAGCGTTGTAAACCTATTGATGATTTGGTTTATGTAATAGTCACTAAAGTTGTTAAAAAGTCATATCAGAACAAGAAAGGAGCACCACCAACATACTCTTTATTGTTGATAAGAAAATTATTAGAAACTACAAAATCATGAATGAATGGAAATAAAGAGTGAAACAACAATGGTTGCAATCAAACAAATCCTCTAACCTGAGCAAGATCAGGATTATCCCCATCCCATTTCTCAATTGCTTGAAGCAAGTACTTGGTTGCAGCAGGGTAAAATTTCCTTCGCAGCATCACTGCACCAAGTTCAAAAAGCTCAGTTGCACCGGCATCACCGCTTCTGACTTGCTCCTGAGGCAATGAAAGAACAGGAGTTAGGACAAAGGATCATAAAACATCTAGTTCCAAATGGCTTGCACTTGTGTATATAATCTTTATTAAGGTAACAAACCAGAGAAAAAAATCTTAGAGAGCTTCAGGGTCTAAAACATTTTGAGGTTAACACCGTGTATCTTGCCCAAGAAATAATCTAAAGGACCAAAGGGAAGATGCACAGGTTCTTACCTGCAACTCTTTGGCAGATAGGTCAAGTTCTCTGCGGACAAGAACTTGGCGAATCACAAAAAAGGTCCCAGTCCCTAGCAAACTCAGTAGCAATACCAAGTATATTAGTTGGATGCTTAAATCAAACAATTCTCCAACCTCATATAACTCATTTATCTTCATTGAGCTGCTTGCATAAGAAACATCAGGAGAAATCACTGATAAAGTTTGTCCAAACAAGAATGCTGAAACCCATTTAGATGATCTTGCACCAACTTCAAGATGTTTGGTTGTAAAGTCATTCACTGAAAATCCTGCAAGAGAAAATTAAAAAAGGGCAATGTCTCAAGTGACCATTTCAACTTTAAAACAAAATTTGAAGATTTTGAATTAGCTGACGTTTTACCAAATGTTTGAACCAAGTTTAACAGAATGCTTAGAATTAACAAGGTGCACAAATTTCCATAGATTTTACCCAATCAGTTTCAGCAATTTGACTGCTAAAAACAATCAACATAATCAAACTTAATGACAATATCGTAATTATTTTTGCTACCTACAGCTGTCAAATAGAGTTGAATGATTGAATCCATTTCAATTGTTTAGCCCATTGTAGTTTGTACACTTCTTTAGGACAGGTTCGACCCTTCCCTTAACNTAAGGTACCAAACCAGAGAAAAAAATCTTAGAGAGCTTCAGGGTCTAAAACATTTTGAGGTTAACACCGTGTATCTTGCCCAAGAAATAATCTAAAGGACCAAAGGGAAGATGCACAGGTTCTTACCTGCAACTCTTTGGCAGATAGGTCAAGTTCTCTGCGGACAAGAACTTGGCGAATCACAAAAAAGGTCCCAGTCCCTAGCAAACTCAGTAGCAATACCAAGTATATTAGTTGGATGCTTAAATCAAACAATTCTCCAACCTCATATAACTCATTTATCTTCATTGAGCTGCTTGCATAAGAAACATCAGGAGAAATCACTGATAAAGTTTGTCCAAACAAGAATGCTGAAACCCATTTAGATGATCTTGCACCAACTTCAAGATGTTTGGTTGTAAAGTCATTCACTGAAAATCCTGCAAGAGAAAATTAAAAAAGGGCAATGTCTCAAGTGACCATTTCAACTTTAAAACAAAATTTGAAGATTTTGAATTAGCTGACGTTTTACCAAATGTTTGAACCAAGTTTAACAGAATGCTTAGAATTAACAAGGTGCACAAATTTCCATAGATTTTACCCAATCAGTTTCAGCAATTTGACTGCTAAAAACAATCAACATAATCAAACTTAATGACAATATCGTAATTATTTTTGCTACCTACAGCTGTCAAATAGAGTTGAATGATTGAATCCATTTCAATTGTTTAGCCCATTGTAGTTTGTACACTTCTTTAGGACAGGTTCGACCCTTCCCTTAAACCCCTAGCCATTCAAAGCGGGTTGGCTTTCTTATGCAACAAAAATAATTAAAATACTTTCCAAAGTATTTTTCTTAATTTAAATCCAAATTATTGTTTATAAGTTATACTTTATTGTATTGAAGAATTATAAATTTATGGTTATTTTAGAAATGTTATTTTTTTATTGGTGGGACAAAAAGTGAAT